CATTTTATGTTTGAAGGACAAATTTATCATAATTTTTAGACCCCACCGCTCCACACTGAACAAAAGAAATACTTGTATCATCATGCCGACACGTTTTTATTTTAATCAATATTATTATGATAAATTTGCGAAGTTTATAATGTATGCTCGTTGGTGCAGTGAATTATTATACAATGCCGTCTTGACTATTGGTTTATTTCTGATACCGTACAAGATATGGTTAAGTCAGTAGATATCAAACCGTCCATCTGTTCAATGGACTATTACTTTCTGTATTCAGAGTGAATCATGGGACAGACATGGCCATTCTTACTTAAAATTATTATTGTGTGTGTAAAGATAGGAACTTTGTCCTAAGTCTAAGAAATCAAATCAAGGAGTGAGAGGCTGAGCTGTCACACAAAGACCCAATGATTATTTTGGAGTATCACAAGTATAATATAAGACGATGACGTATTCAAAATCATTGATCGGGAAAGAAAACTTAATGAACTGGAAATATTAATTGAGGGCTTGGAAAATAATCTTATAAGAAATTATAAAAGAACAATTATATTATGAAGACAAATTTAAAATTTATTATACAATCTAGATAATATAATCTTTTCGATTTAAGAGAAAAGGTAATACGTTTTTTTCTGCTTTTGGAGATATCAAAAAACTAAAACAAACAATGATTTCTATTCATGCGTGTATGCAAAAGATTGATTGATAGAATTAGAACTGGTCGCTCATCAATTTCTCTATAGTAGAAACACTCCCCTTTTTAGGTGATGAAGCAAAGCGGTCTTGTGAGGGAGCACTTACTTTGAACGAATATTTTATAACGCTAACCTCATTACCAAAAGATAAAACACCGGGTAATGATGGCCTGTCAGCTGAATTTTATCTAACAATTTGGAACATTATTAGTTCACGTTTAGTTTGATAGTTTAAATTATTCTCACATAGCGGGACAGTTAGCATAATCTTGATTGCCAAAAAGGGCAAATGTAAACTACAGACCAATATTAATACTGATGTTAAGATAACATATACAGCAATTTCAAAACGCATTTATGCCATCCTACTAACTATCATTCACCCAGACCAATTGGCATTTGTGAAGGACAGATTTATAGGTGATGCAGTTTGCACAGTGTTTCATGTAATGTGGCAAACTAGATACCAAATTCGCCCGGGGTTTGAATATCTATTGACTTCAAAACAGGAATTAATTTAGTTGATCACAATTTTAATTTTGGTATTTCTTTTTTAAATTGGGTAACAACATTTTAAGTAGCATCTCTTTCATTGAGATGAATCAAGTAACATAAACTGGTTACTTTCCCATTGCAAAAAGTGTACGACATGGGATCCCTGTTTCATTATCTGTATTTAACAGTGGTAGAATTACTTGCAATTAGTATTTGAAATACACCAAGTATAAACTATAAAAAGGTATTTGCATCTTTAAAAAAATATTAAGTTAGTAATGTATGCAGACGACATAACGTATTCAAATTAAGCCCACCTCAGTGATACCTTTTTTCAATACAGTTAACAAATTTGGAAAATGTTCAGGATTAAATCTAAATCGGGACAAAAAACTGAGGCACTGGTCGAATGAAATACCAGTTCTGGATTTTTTTACCTGTGCATCTGACAAGTCTGTTGAAGAAAACTAATAAAAAAACATAATAGTCTAAAGTTAATATGCACATTGTGTTCTAAAAGAATACTTTCAATAATTGGAAAAAAATGCAGATCCGATTAATGATTACATGCCAAAATTAATTATCAATAAAGCAATATTGTTATATACAATTTTATTTGGAATGGAAAAGATAACATTAAAAGAAACAGATATTAAAATTGAAAGCGGTGAGTTAAACATTATTGAGGTGCACTCCTTTTTTAAAGCACAAAAGATTATGTGGGTTAAACGGGTTGTTTCTAAAAGTCAGTCCAAACTGGCTGGCATAAAAATTATGATTCAAACACGAGAATGTACCATTCACAAAACAACGTGCGAATATATAATGATTAATGGCAAAATGCAGTACAAAATAATTTCTGTACATTTTTCTATGTTTTTTACACCCGCCTTTCTGTTAATTGTAAAAATGTGACATTGTAAATATTCTTGTATCTAAAACATAAAATGGCATATCCAATGTAAATTTCTGTTTATCATTTCAATCACCAAAATATCTTACCGATGAACCAATGCACTGGCGTTTGAGAAACACGATTGGGGAATTCACTTTTAATATCACGAT